GTTAAGTTTCTCAGGATCCACATAAGAGTGAAAACATATGGTATCTGTCTTTCTCTGTATGGCCTTTTGTATCGAAGGATTTTTTTTTTTTAAAGTCCTTCAAAAGTCACAGGCTTAGACCCCTTCTTAAAAGCGAGGAAAATGCATGCTGTTATGGGCTGATTTGTGTCCCTCCAAAACGATGTTTGAGTCCTAACCCTCAGTACCTTGGAATGTGAATTTGTTTGGAGAGAGTCTTTACAGAGGTAACCAAGTTAAAATGAGGCCATTAGGGTGGCGTAATCCAATATGTCTGGCATCCATATAGAGAGGGGAAATCTGGACACAGACAAACACAAGGAGAGCAAGCACTATGTGAAGAATAAGGCAGAGATTGAGGTGAAGCTTCTACAAGATAAGTGACACCAAAGTTTGCCAGCAAACTACCAGAAGGTAAGGGAGAGGTCTGGAACAAATCTTACAGCCTTCTGAAGGAAGCAACCCCTGTCAACACCTGGGTCTGGGACTTCCAGCCTCCAGAGCTGTGAGACAATAGATTTCCGTTGGTTAAGCCACCCCGACTGTGGTACTTTGTTACGACAGCCCCAGCAGACTCATGCACATGCAGACAGGTCTTACTGTAAAAATATCCCTGTGTTCTTAGTCTCTTCTATTTTCTCTCTTCTCTCTCGTTTTCATTTCTCCTCTTACTCACATGTTCTCTGATGCTTGTGGTCTCTCTGTGCCCTCCCTCCCCCCTGCCCCCCAAGTCTCTCTCTCTTCATTTCCTTGGAGATTGTCTGCCTCAGGTGGTTCCAGGACCCAGGGGACATGACCGACATCTTAGGGGCCAATGACGTATTAGAAACTGTCTGGTTCCACCCCTGAATTCCTCAGCTCAGTTAATACATTGCCTGGCTTTAAAGAAATGCGTTCAGGAGGGCACTTGCTGGGATGAGCACTCGGTGTTGTATGTAAGTGATAAATCACTAAATTCTACTCCCGAAACCCAACGTTAACTAGCTTGAATTTAAATAATCCTGAAAAAAAAGAAATGTAACAAGGGCGGAGGCCACCCCTGCCGCTGGGCCAGGACAAGTTTTGAAGTGTAAACCCGGCCCTTGTGATTTGCTGAGCCACCGTCTGACTTCGAAGTGTATTATTGGAAGATATTTTGAACCCTCTCATGATGCAGTGGGGGCACTGTGCCACCCCACTGTGCCCTCTGTCATCTCTCCCACTGATGCAGGGCTAGGGAGGCAACATGCCAGGCCTTTTGTGACCTCTTACCTCCAGGTTCCCAGGGAGGGCAGCAGACGTGGACCCTGGAGTCCACCTGCCTTTAAGCCTGATTCTATCGCTTCTCTTGGCTTCCTCACCTGTGAAGTGGGGACAACAGTCTACCTCACAGGGTTGTTCTGTGCACTGACATGAGATGGGTAAGTCACGTAGAATGTGGCCCAGAAGACAGGAACTGTTCAAAGAAAAACATGTGCCCTGTTCTTCTCCCCAGGGCTAAAGTGGGGGAGGACACGTTTGCCCCCTGACTTTCCGCCAACAGAAAGGGTAACAAAATGACTATGTCCCTAGAGGAGCTGAAAGGGGAGGGCAGCCTTTCGTGTAACCAACCTCGGTCCCTAGTGGCAGGGCCTGCTTTAGTTAACAGACACTGACTGGCAGAAACTTCTTTAGAATGTGAGGGGTATGCTACCATGGATCAAGTTCCTCTGAAGGTTGATTGATGGTGGTGGCCAAGACCTTGCTGTGCAAGTGCTGGCCTTCACCATGGAACCGGCCCTGGGCTGACGGCTGTCTCCCTGCCCGGTGCCTGGAATGCTGCAAGGAAGGGCCCACGTTGGCCTCTGTCAACCTGGGGCTAGTTATTAGAACTAGGGGCCGACAGGAAGAGCCTCGTTCTGAGCCTCAAAGATGTTGCTTAGACCCTCTCTCTCCCCACTATTTCTCTGACCCTACTTGGAGGCAAGTTCCCTGCCCATCCCGTTTCAGGTGTAATTTTAGGTTTGTTTCGATTCTGGCAAGGTGCAGTGATGTACGATAAAGATTTCTTTCGTTGCTGGCACGCTTCTGCATAGTAAACATTGATTGGACCTGCCTAGAGCAGGTGCACCAGTCAGTTGCTCTGGGTGTTTGGGAGGAGGGCTGGGTGGTTATGTGGAGGGGTTAGAAACGTATGTGCCCAAAAACACCATCTCTAAGTCAAGACAGAAACTGAAGCTACATCTTGAGCACAGGTTTTTTTCCTTCCCCCTAGAGAGTGGAGAAAGCCAAAGTCATTCTTGGGTTGTGTCGTTGATTTTGGATTTTATGGCTTGAGCGTGATTACTGTAAGCTTTGCTACTCAGAGTAGGTTTTCCTACGAAAGCCTAACAGTGAGGGTTCTCATGAACGCTCTTGTCACATTCCCCAGCCCCAACTAGCCACAGGCTCTGATGTCTCTGGGACCTCACTGACCGTCCAACCATAGGCTCCGCCCCTTCAAGTTTCTGAGCCACTCCCATTAGCAGATGGACTCCGTAGTAGTCTCCGTAGCAGTCCGAGGTCTCATCTGCTTGTGGAAACTCTGACCTCACACATGGTCTCAGGACCACGGGCTCCCCTAAATGCAGGGTTCTGTCCCGACTCCTTGATTTGCGATCTCCATATAGAGCAGCAACCAACGTTTTCTGAGCCTTCGTTGCATGTAGGACATTGATGGCTACAAAGAGGGAGACTGTCCCCAAGGCGTGCCATTCTAGCTGGGGAGATAGAAATGGAAGATTCTAACGCAAGGTAATAAAAGAGAGGTAAGAACAGAACACCGTAGGAGCCTTCCGCAGGGACCCCTAACCTAGACTGGGTAAGGGAGACTAATCTAGGGGAGATTTCCCAAAGGAAGTAGAATACTCCCACCCCACGCCTGGGACTGGAGCCCTGATTTTAAATCTCCGCTGCATATGGCTGGGTTCTGCTCTAGGTCACAATCCACCAGAACCTAGGACATGCCATCGCTGCCCTTAAGTATCGCATTACCTGAGGACTCCTGGTGCCTTATCTGCCCCATGTGCCAAAACCCCAGCCACAGTCACCAGCTGGGCCCCACACGGGTTCCCCACACTCAGTCATTTCTTTGGGATCCGGTCCCAGACGGTGATTTGCACTCTATCTGGGGGCGGGGGAGAGGTCTTTCCCTAGTAACCCGGCTGAGATGCTTGCTGTCCTTCTGACTGAGCTAATCTGAGTGAAGGCAAGATCTCTGGTGGAAAGTACATTGACTTCCATTCTCACTACATCCAAAGAATTCTACATTTGTTCTGCCCTTGACCTTCAGTGGGCTGGGTTGGGGTTACCTTGTGTACCCTTCAAAGTGCCACACACAAGTGGCGCCTGGGCGGCTCAGTCAGTTAAGCGTCCGACTTCGGCTCAGGTCATGATCTCGCGGTTCGTGAGTTTGAGCCCCGCGTGGGGCTCTGTGCTGACAGCTCCGAGCCTGGAGCCTATAGCCTGCTGCGGATTCTGTGGCTCCCTCTCTCTGCCCCTCCCCTGCTCGCACTTTCTCTCTCTCAAAAACAAAGAAACATTAAAAAAAAAAAAAAAACAAACCCAACAGCAACAAAGTGCCACACACAAGAGGCAAAGCCAGATTCTCAGGGAAGAGAAAGGAAAGGAGCTGAGTAGTGGAGGGGCGGCCTTTTCCTCTTTGCAAAGTCACGAAGACTCAGCCTGTCTGCCGGATTCTATCTGAGTTCATTAGCATCAGAATAAAAATAAAAATAATATTAGCTTCATTATTCATGAGCCCCTGGATTATATCTGAGTTTAGGCTAATAAACCCAGAAACTCAGATATAATCCAGGGGCTCATGAATAATGAAGACACTGCTATTACTTGGAAAATGCCAAGGACTTAGAGTCTCTCTCCCAGGAACCAGGGACCCACATCACTCGTGACATTTCCCTGAGGCTCAATTCTTTCTCTAAATTCTTCCCCAGACTGACTCTCAATCTGCCCAACTCAGTTGGAAATGTAATCCTGGCCTGCCTTGCAGTATTTTTTCCGTTTATAAACTTTGTCTCTGCAAGTACGGTCAAGGCCTTGAGGCCAAGGGCTGTGTCACACTTCTTTTGATCACCCCCCCCCCCACCCTGCCACCCCTTCCCTAGAGCTTTGCCAGACTCCGTTTAAATGCTCGCTACACACAGGCCTGGAATGATGAATGTCATCTGTTATTTTAACATTTGTTTTTGAAGTGGTATTTTTTTGAGCCACCTTTTAGGTAGACAGTTTTTGAAGCTTACGTGAGAGATCTGGGCCATCCAAAGGGGCGTGCGTACTTTTCCTTCATGTCTTGATGTTCAAGTGAGCTTTTAGAAATCGCTAGAAGGCAAATTAGGAGCAGACTCAAGGGACCAGCCATCCCCGGGAACTGTAAATGGTGGCCTAGCCCCTGAGGAATAGGTGTAAGAATGGGGGTGAAACAGAGTGGGCTGGAATGAGGGGTGGGGGTCCTCTTCTCATCCCTGCATGAGCACCTCTCTGGGAGAGGAGATGGTTGGTAGCCTTCCCTGTTAGGGCAAGTGATGCCGGGCTGAATCCAGTGTCTCAGCAAGAGATAGTTTCATTTGTCTGCAAAGAGATGGGAACGTGAAGGGGCACCTGGGTGGCTCAGTCAGTTGAGTGTCCGACTTCGGCTCAGGTCATGATCTCACCACTCGTGAGTTCGAGCCCCACGTCGGGCTCTGGGCTGACAACTCAGAGCCTGGAGCCTGCTTCCGATCCTGTGGCTCCCTCTCTCTCTGCCCCTCCCCTACTCTCACTTTGTCTCCCTCTGTCTCTCAAAAATAAATAAATGTAAGAAAAAAAGAAGAGATGGGAACGTGAGAGGTTGAAGAAGTTGACTTAGGTGGGGTTTCTATAACCAACGATGCACAGCCTTTCATCTCTACCCCGTTGTGCTAAGTCCCCTGCGTCTCCTGCCTGGATCTCCCAGCTTGGTCCACCATTGGACCTATTTGTCTATTGATTTGGACACCAACCAGTATGCTGGGATTCAATTCTGGCACTACCTACACGGAGTTAGAGCAGACCCCATAAATTAAAGGGTGTGGTCCACAATAAGACTGTTCTCATTTCTGACTGACTGGCTGCAAATCTGGGAGGTTCCCACGATCCCCCTCAGGTTTGATAACTCACTAGAATGGTTCAAAGAACGCAGGAAAGTGCCATGCTACGGTCACCGTTTTATTGTAAAGGATGCAAGTCAGAAACAGCCAAATGAAGAGGTACGTACGGCAAGTTCTGGAGGGTTGCAAACACAGAGCTTCCGTGTTCCGTCTCTGTGGAATCAAGGCACATCACCTTCCCAGCACGGTGACGTGTTCCCCAACCAGAAGTCTCCACCAAGCTTCAGTGTCCAGAGTTTGTTTTGAGATTTCTTTATAACGGCACGGTTGATCGAACCATTGGCCATGTGACATGTGGCTCAACCATCAGCCCCCACCCTTCCCTGGAGGTTGGGAGGTCAGGCTGATGCCAGTGGCCCTAACTCGCTCATCAATCACATGGTCGGTCTTTCCAGCACGATCAGAGCACCCTGAAACTAACCGGGGGCCCACGTGAGTCAGCTCATTAGCATAAACTCAGAGACAATCCAGGGGCTCGTGAATAACGAAGACACTCCTATGACTTGGGAAACTCCGAGGACCTAGAGAGTCTCTCTCCCAGGAACCAGGGACAGAGGCCAGTCAGATTCTTTATCGTATGATACTAGCTTTTAGCCTTCTGGTTTTATTTTCCAGATTCTGACTCATGCGTTGGCTGTGAGCTTGAGGAAGTCATGACATTCTCTATAGAAGGGAACTGGAGCGATCCCTCAACTCAGCGCAGATAGCATTCTGATAACAGGAGCTTCAAGATCACTGGAAACAAAGCACTGCTGTTCACTTGTGCGGTCTGGCCCTTGCAGGTTGGTGCCGCTCTGTCTCTCAGGGGCTTCCTACTGGGCCCCAGGTTCACGGAGAACTTCATTAGAACACGGCCGGCTGCCGTGGCAGAGGGGGAGAAAGAGCGTCTCCAAGCAGGCATGGGCCCTTATTGTGCCTTCTCACTTCCATCCCTTTTCACTGGCCAAAAGATGGGCTTCTGTCGAGGGATAACTGTGACCCAATCTGAGATTCAGGGAAACAAATTACTGTCCAGGTGATAGAAGGCCAAGGCAGAGACAGGAGGAAAGGAGAGGAGGGGTGTCAGAGGCCGTGGGGACCAGTCACATGAGGAGGCAAGGGCAAGGAGGGACCCAGGGGGTTCCTGAGGGGTCTAGCTTGGGGAACGCGGGGGCAGTGGCACCCAGGAGGTCAGGAGAAGCCGACAGAATGTTCTCTGCCTTTGCAGGATGGTGCTGGAGGCAGCATCTGGGCTTCCAGCCAGCGGGGGAATGTAGGGAAAAGAGGACGTTTCTTCTTCTCATAAACAATCAACCCATCAATAAGCAGGCGGCCCTCTTAACCTGAACTCCCTGTGTTAACCGAAAGCCAGGAGGACTTTGACCATGCAGGCTCCGTTGCATAACTCGTTTCAATGGGCTATTGTTTTCCTGCCTGGATTTTTTCCATGATGGAAATGATTCGTGTGCCATGCTGGGCAGGAGATCATATGCAAATGCTTCCTGGGTTTGATCTCCATACGGGGCATGAATTAATGCTTGTGCGAAGGCACAGAGTAGGTAGTAAATGGATTTCATTAACTTAAAGTATTTGAGCCATCATGGTGGGCAGTGGCGACCTAAGGTGTGGGTACCTGCCGCTTTCCAGCTTGGTCAGCACCAGAAATTGCCACATTTCGTGCTTAAACCACTCAAAGGAGTTTGACGGTGGAAAAGCCAGGGTGGAGGTAGGGAAGTCAGGCCGGGAGCCAGGTGTCTTTAATGTGTTTCTGCTTTTGCTGCGAAACCCGGGCAAGTTGTGACATGTTCTAAAGATTTACCCAACTGTTCAAGGACAGCGATGGGGTGAGGGGGGTGGGAAGTTTGCAGAGAGCTCCCGAGAGGAATTCTAGATGCCCAGCCACCTTCCAGAAAGAAGAAGAGGGTCGCTTTCCCTCTCTCTGCCACGGGAGTGAACAGGGACCACGCGGTTTGCAAAGGAGCCTCTACAGCCTTCCCCTTGCCCTCCGCCAACCACCGTGGACTCTGTCTCTGCCAGCTGCCTTCCTGGGCTCTTCCGTTGCCGAGTCAGGGCGAGGCCGGGAGAGAAAGGACTGGAGACTCCTGGAGGCACGTGCTGAGGAGTGGCCGTGGCAGGAGAGCCAGAAATTTCCCGACGGGAGAGAATCAGTAGGGGAGGTGACATGAAGGAAGCAGAGAAGGAAAGACAGCTGTCCCCCGGGGACTGGGAGGGGGCGGGCTTTGCAGGGGGGGAGGGGCAGGGTGAGAGAAAAGTTACGGAGGCTCAGTGGGAGAGAAGGAGAAAGAGGACTTCAGAAAAGTCTCCTGTGCATGAAACGCCACCCCCCCCCCGACGTCATCTTGAAATCTAAGTATGGGGGCGCCTGGGTGGCGCAGTCGGTGAAGCGTCCGACTTCAGCCAGGTCGCGATCTCGCGCTCCGTGAGTTCGAGCCCCGCGTCGGGCTCTGGGCTGATGGCTCCGAGCCTGGAGCCTGTTTCCGATTCTGTGTCTCCCTCTCTCTTTCTGCCCCTCCCCCGTTCATGCTCTGTCTCTCTCTGTCCCAAAAATAAATAAACGTTGAAATCTAAGTATGAATTGACTTGATCTTTCATTGAAAATTCTAGTGAAATGGTTCTTTCCTGGAATCCGCATGTGGGGCTTGGGGGGGTCCCCAGAATCTGAGCTCCTCTGTGGCTTGGGTCACTGCGGGAGCTCCCTGCTAGCAGGAGACGCCCCGCCTGGAAGGGCAGGGATCTGTGCCTGGGCTTTACCCAGAGGCCCGCTGGGCAGGGCTGGTGGCCTCCTGAGGCCTCAGCTTACCCAGCTATAAAACTAAAGGGCTCTGCCCACTCCCTCCTTGACTCTAGCTTCTCTCTGAAAGCCTCAGGGGCAGGCCCCTGTATACACTTCTGTGCAAGCGCGGGCACTCACTACAGGTCTGTGGAGCAGGGAGGAAAGTGTAGGCATCCAGGGCGGTCCCTTCTTCAGCACCGGACCCTTTTGGCCACATTTCCTTTCCTTTCCTTTCTTTTACTTTTCTTTGCGAAGATGCGGCTGTTCAGTCAGCTTCCTCCTGTGTCCTCCCCACCCGCAAACACTGGAAAGCTAAGCCCGCACCTCGCAGACCCTCCGCGCGCGGGTTCTGGATGAGACGCGGGTTCTGGATGGGACGCAGGCTCTGCCGGCCAAGGGCACCGGAGGAAACTACTTCGCGGTGGAGTTATGTGGGGAGACAGAGGCAGGGCGGGAGCGCTTTTAGGGGAAGCACTGTGGCTTGATGGCTGGCAAGCTCCTGATCGTGGGTGGCAGGGGAGCGGGGACGGGTCGTTTGTCACCTGGTCCTGTGGTGTGGCTTGGGGAGTTGAACCTGAGACCCAGCCTGGCCTGCGTTAGCCGTCCCACAGATTCTGTGAGCCTTTTGTTCCCTTACCGGCCGTCTTGTTCTGCTTTCAGACAGATGAGGTTCCCTGCAGCCGAGCCCTGCCTGACTCCTGAGAGAACCCCGGTCCGAAGGCAGCTGTGAGGAGCCTGGCCCGCATTCAGGGGCGACTTCGTGTTGCGATCCCGGCCACCATGTCACAGGGACTGATGTGGCTGGCTGGGTCCTTGACCTTCTGCTGTATGCCTCACTTCTCTTCCCCTCTGGAACCCGGTTGCTCACGTCCAACCCGGAAGGGGCGGTGGCTGAGATGGAAGGGGAGGAAAACCTGAGAGGGGACACTGTACCTCTGGGCTCTGCATGGGTAAGGAGTTTCTCCAGACGCGGCCTTTCTCTGCTTCTGCTGCCCTGATCCCTCTCCTGCCCAGGGCTAAGGCATTGTCACTGTCTCTGGTGTATTTTTAGCTATCCTGTTCCTTGAAAGCCTTTCCGATTTCTCTGACGTTGATTTTCCAGAACAATCCAAGGGTGGGTCGATGCTTGTATGTTTCTAATTTTCCATGCTTTGTTTACTACAAGAGCAAACATACATGTTACAAAGGCTGTTTGTATGTTTGGATAATTAATTTCTAGTGGTTAAGGAGGAGGGCGGAGAGGGCACGAGGTGGAGAAAGAGGGAGGAGGCTTTAGAGTCAGACCCAGCAGCTTTGAATCCGGGCTCACCACTCATTAGCTGTGTGGCCTTGGAGAAGCAACTAAACCTCTCTGAGCTTCAGTTTCCTCCTCTGGAGATTGGTAATAGGAAGAGTCTCCAGCTCACTGCGTTGTTAGAAATTGAAATAAGATAATGAATCCAGGGGCGCCTGGGTGGCTCAGTCGGTTGAGCGTCCGACTTCGGCTCGGGTCATGATCTCGCGGTCCGTGAGTTCGAGCCCCGCGTCGGGCTCTGTGCTGACCGCTCAGAGCCTGGACCCTGTTTCGGATTCTGTGTCTCCCTCTCTCTGACCCTCCCCCGTTCATGCTCTGTCTCTCTCTGTCTCAAAAATAAATAAACATAAAAAAAAAAAAAGATAATGAATCTATAACGATTTGGTTGGTTCATGGTACTTATTAAGGGCTCTTCTTTATAAAACTCTTATTGTAGTTCGCCTCAGTGTTTTCGTCTGTAAAAGGGACAAATAGTAAAACACCATGAACAAAATACAGAACTGGCTCTAGGGCAAAGAAGTTTGTATGAAGCAAACCCAGTGGGCCTTGTCCCTTAAGGCTTACTGGCCTGACAGAGGGTAAGAGGAGATCTGAGTGGTTTAGGGGAGCCGCTGAGGAAGGTAAGAGCCAGGCTCATTTAAAGGGATGTGGGGAGGACGAGCCTCTGTCTCTTTCCTTGCCTTGTACTGGGATTGATGTCCTCTCATCATGCACAGACCTCCACAAAAGGGCCAGCAACAAGCAGGTCTAGGACTCTCAGGGTAGGCTTTCTTTCTGTTGAACATTTACATATGGAGTCTTCCTTGGGATGGAGGAATTCTGGGCCATGAAGAGGGGCTCATCATCAGGCTAGAAGCAATCACATAGGGTCGAAGTTGGGTATAATAAGTTCTCCTTGGGTCATCAGAAGAAAGGAGAACCCGCTTTGCCTAAATGATTACGTAGCCCCCGAAACACTAAAGGTTGGGGGATCCTTCAAAGTTTTGTACACCAGGCCTCCGAGAACAAAACTATGGAGAGGTACAAAAGGGGGGAGGAACTACATGTTTGTCCCTCTAAATCTCTTCCACAAATGTTTCCTCGACTTCTGGACCTACAATCACTTCAAATCTGGTCTCTAGGATGAGGTATTTTGGAATTCGTCTGAATAAATTTAATTCATCTCTTCTGTCAACCAGTCTTCAACTCAACTTACCCACAACATGAAGTTCGTGCGGAATGGAAGGTTCAAGAAGTCTCTTTTCCAGGAGACTTTGCAGTCTTTCTTAATCACCGAAAGTTTGCCTTAGGGTTCATCGAGAAGATCCAACCAACGTTTTCAGATGGGTGTAGGCGTGCGACTCGGATCTCTCCCACATGGCTTTGAAGACCCCAGCAACAGTCAGCTTCCACGGTGTGTGGGGCTCTGGGCTTGGGTCGGAGGGCTGGCCCCAGGCTCCTGTGGGGATACCCCGCTCCCCCACCTTTCCCCCAGGGACCCCTTTGTGGCTCCCAACATGCTGTCCTGCAGAAAGCTAGTGCTGGCCGCATCTGTTCCTTGGGCTGGTCAATCCCCATGTTAAGAATGGGTGGCTCAGTCGGTTAAGCGTCCGACTTCGGCTCGGGTCACGATCTCACGGTTCGTGAGTCCGAACCCCGCGTCGGGCTCTGTGCTGACGGGCTCGGAGCCTGGAGCCCGCTTCGGATTCTGGGTCTCCTTCTCTCTCTGCCCCTCCCCACTCTCACTCCGTCTCTGTCTCCCTCCAAATAAACATTAAAACAACTTTTAATTAAAAAAAAAAATGCAAAGGTCTGATCACTTGTTCTACCCCCGCCCCCGTTTGAAAACTCCTAAGCTCTGGTGCCTGTCACTGAGAATATGTTTGTTGGAATTAGCTTCAAGCAGACTTTTCTCTTTGCCACCTGCCTGACCTGTTTAGCAAACACATAACGTGTCTTTAAGTTCCTTGCCCCATGTATATTCTTCAGTCGAAAAAATTTTTTCCTCTCATTTCGCACTCCTCTGCTAACTTCCTTTAGGTATATCCCCACTTCCTTCTTTCTCCTGGACCGCTTTTAGTCAAGGGATCCTTGGGTTCCTGTGAGTTGGCTGGCCTTCTCATTTTACATCTGATTTACGAAGAAACCTGGCATTCTCAGACCTTCCCATGCTTGCTTGAAATACCATCTAGTGAAGTAATGGATCTGAAAAAAAAAAACAACAAACCCGAAAATCGCTTTTCAGTCTCCTTCAAAAATTCCTTCGTCTCTGGTTGCGACACACAGAGCCAAATCGCAGATGGAATACATTTCTTCATCTTTAAAAACACCAACTGCTTTTTTTCCTTATTTGATTTTTTATTTTATTTTATTTTTTTTTACAGTCACACTGATTCTCTATCTAGCCCGTGTCTGTTCCTCATCTCCCCGGTCTCCCAGTTCTGTTTATCATGAAAATAATCCCCAGAAACATGAAAACGTGGGCTCTCAAGGGGGTCATCCGTTTAGGGGGGGACAAGCTGGCTTAAAGGATGAGCAGTACATAGGGGTACAGGGAACCCCACTTTCAGACCCTGACTATAGGTTCGGCAGAAAGCATCTATGAGTCTTCCCCTATTCCCACAAAAAGAATGGGGGTTCTCACAAGTCCGGGCACACGGCAGCGAAGGAAAACTTCGCTTCTATGGCAGAGAAGTTAAATCTTCCCAGCTTTATAGCTTGGATAAAACAGAGGAGTAAAAGTCTGCCCCCAGGTCTCAGATGTTCTGTGTGGCTTCTTTGTGGACCGGTTTTCCGTCATGTTTTAAGTCTTGATTAGTCATTTCATACATTTATAAAGTGTGGGCTGGGGATAAACTGTAATGTTTAGCACAAGGTATCGAGGCCCTAGTCCTTGTGCCATGCAGGGAGTAACGATTTGGTGACAGGCTGAGATAAGCTCATACATCATCGTGTTTCAAAAAGAACATAACCACCAAGATGTCATGAGGGACAAGATCATATCCTTCTGAGGGCACAAAAGAAGGCAGAGTGGCACGAGAGCTCAAGAAAGCAACAGAGGAAGGGTTAATCTGGAGACTTGAGGAATTAATGGGAGAACGCCTATCTGTGAGATTCAAAATCCTATGACTATCACGTGCCTATTCTATAACGATATGCATTTTACTTAAAAACGAAAACATGGGTATGCTATCTCTGTAACTGATTATAAAAATAATTACGGCTCTATTTACAATTCTGTTGCCGAGGACCACAATATTTTAGGTCAGTTTTCTCTACTTTCTTTACGAACTTATTCATAACAGTTCACTAAATGGCAAATATTAATAATTTCTTTTAAAAAACCTTTTTTTAAATGTTTGGGTATTTTTGAGAGAGACAGAGACAGAATGCGAGTGGATTGGGGCAGAGAGACAGGGAGACACAGAATCCGAAGCGGGCTCCGGGCTCTGAGCCGTCAGCACAGAGCCCGACGTGGGGCTCGAACCCATGAGCCACGAGATCATGACCTGAGCCAGAGTCAGACATTCCACTGACTGAACCACCCAGGCGTCCCAAATATTAATGATTTCTTAATGGAACTGGAAAGGAGGCTGACCTACAAAATGTTATCTTGGGTAACAGAGTGGCAAATAGGACTGCAATGAATTATTAACGAACCAGATCCTTACGGTGATTTCACATTAGCCAGGCTTTATCCAACTACCCTGCCAACGCTGTGCTCAAGTAAAGACGATTCAGTGGGGTCCGCATTCAGCCCTTACCCACCCCCCCCCACCAATTCTTGTGTTGTGTCGGCCCTATCGTCACAAGACAACAACTGCTTTGCTGTTATTTCTTTCTGAAGCATAGTCATTCCCCTCAGAGATTCGAGGAGCCTTGGGGCCCCCGGCTTCCCGGGGACCATGTGCAGAATAACAGTTGGATTCTAGAAAAAGTGAATGCCTTCCATGTTTCTGTAGGGGCTGCCCTGGCCTTTCTAACCAGCAGACTGGTGGGATTCTGAATTCCAAACATACAGCTCTGTCACATGGGGAATATAATTAGGAATAATGCAGCCCACAGGCCTCTGCTCTGGGGTATTATGCTCAAGGAACTTCTCCCCCGGTGATAAGGGAGCTATAGACTAAATTTTGTGCCCCCCTACCCCAGAGTCACACGAGGAAGTCCTAACCCCCGAGGGGCTGCTATTTGGAGGTGGAGCCTTTGGGAGACAACAGGGTTTAGATGAGGTCAGGAGGGTGGCCCCAGGATGGGGTTAAGTGTCTTCATAAGAAGAGGAAGAGACACCAGGGCTGCCGTGGGAGGACGCAGCGAGAAGGCAGCCGTCTGTGAGCCAGGAGGTGGGCCCTCACCAGGAACTGAGCCAGCTGGCACCTTGACCTTGGTCTTGCAGCCTCAGAACTGTGTGAAATAAATTCTGGTTGTCTCAGCCGCCCACTCTGTGGTATTTTGTGACTGAAGCAAGTGCTGACCGTCATGACAGGGCTCAGAGGTCGCCCGTCATCTGCCTGCCTTGCTTTGCCGCCCCATTTCTGGCCGGTGCCCCCAGCTCTCTCACAGGTGAAGTCCGGGCCTCCTGACAGATGCCCGTTAAGGCCCCAGGAGGACATTTGCTTGGAACTCCTCTACTGATGTGGTGACTCTTTCAAGGCAGTGATGGGGCAATGGCAATATTTTTCAGGGAGTAATGAGGATCTTTTTAAATTTTTTTTTATTTTTTAATGTTTATTTATTTTTGAGAGCAAGAGAGAGAGGGAGAGACAGAATCCGAAGCAGGTTCCAGGCTCTGAGCTGTCAGCACAGAGCCCAATGCGGGGCTCGAACCCACGAGCGGTGAGATCATGACCTGAGCCGAAGTCAGACGCTTAACCGGCTGAGCCGCCCAGGCACCCCAATGAGGATCTTTCAATTGTTCCTTTCTGCTTCTAAATTGCAGTGTTTTTTAAAGGTTGGAGTTTTTAATACAGGGGTTTACTCCCCTCCCTTTTTTGTAGCTTGTAAACTACACTATATTCTTTAAAAAAAAATTTTGTTTTCAATGTTTTATTTATTTTTGAGACAGAGAGAGACAGAGCATGAGCAGGGGAAGGGCAGAGAGAGAGGGAGACACAGACTCTGAAGCAGGCTCTAGGCTCTGAGCTCTCAGCACAGAGCCTGACACGGGGCTCGAACTCACAAACCGCCAGGTCGTGACCTGAGCCGAAGTCGGCCGTTTAACCGACGGAGCCACCCAGGCGCCCCCAAACTACACTATCTTCTTGGTTGACCTGTGGCTCTTTGCCCATCCACGGGTTTGGATAAGCACAGAGGAGTTTCCCTTCCTAGAGCACAGATAAGCCCTTTGGACTCGAGATGCCAAGAGCCAAGCAGGGTGGTCGGGGGGCCTCGCTCGGGCATAAGCAATTGGGGAAGTAAAAAGAGAAGGGGGACAGAGGGGTGCAAGGGGGAAGCGCAATGGCAGAAGCCAGAGGAAAGAAGAGGCCGAGGAGTGGGAAGGTGAACCTTTAGGGGAGCGAGGGGTGCCAACCACAGCGGCTCCACAAGTCTCAGGGGCCCACGCACTGCCCGTGGAGGCTGCCTCTCTGGTCTGGGCCGGAAGCTGACTCCAGAAACAAAGGGGACTCCAAGGAGAGGGCAAGGGCCCAAAAGTCAGGGCTTCACCGAAGGGGGCAGGAGCCCAGCCTGGCTGCCTCGATCCACCCGAGTCCTTATAAACTAGGGCATCACCCAAGGCAGGAAGCAGGGGTGAGGTAATATGCGTGAGAAGCTTGGCCTTTGTCCCAGCTGCTTTCACGGAACTGAGTGTTTACCTACTCGAGCACAGGAAGGGGAAGTTGGGAACGAGGCCAGAGTCTCTTCTGTGGAGACAGAGGTCCTGCTTTATTGGCCCTCCTGATAGTGGGGGTGACTGAGACCTCGCATGCCATCAGACACGGGCCTGATGACGACCGGGGACGCTTCTTAGGTGGGCTAAAAATAGGTTCTGCTCCAACCTTTTCCTTCACGTCTCTACAGCCTACGAGCGGCTGAGGTGACGAGAACACCGCTTCCCCCCCATCAAGGTTAAAGTCTGGCCGAAGACTCCCAGTCCCTTCGCCAAGGGGAACTCGGCGCTCCCGCCACAAAGCCCGCCGTGCTGGGAATGGACGCGCTTGAGAGACTCTCTCAGGACACAGCCACTTCTGTCGTCAGGAGTGACAAAAGCACGAAGGGAGCGCCCCTTTGGGGCTTGGCGGGTGGTGGGCGGCCTGGCGGGCGAGTAGTGCTCAATTATACAAACGGACAAGATGAGTGAAGTGACAGCCAGGCCTGGGAACCTGACCCCGGGGCACCGGCTGAGAGAGTAAAAGAAAGATCCAGGCTGGCCTTGGAGCTTCCGCACAGGTGCCCCATCTGGGCCGGTGAGACCGGGTTTGGGGTCAGGTCTCCAAGCTTACAGGGGAGCCCCCTAGGTGCCCAGGCTAGGTGCCCTGGCGGGAAAGGCGAATGTCAAGGATGAGACATTCTCTTCTAGGAGAGAAACTCTGCCTCATCCATCATGATGATGATCGTGGCACAGAGTAGGCCGCAATTCAGGTGTGTGGAAATCAGTCAAAACATTGGGAAAGTTTCCATTGAAAGAGCCATCTGAGGGAGGTGACAAAGGCATAATATCTTACAGGGATGTTTGCG